CTCACTGTCAGATGCTCTTAAATCTATGAATGAGAATGCTGCAGCTGACAAGTTAGATCAAGTGGGTAAGTTAATATCACTGATTGTATTGGCATTGACTGTGTGTGTGTATTCTATAGAACGTAAAGCTAAGGCTATTGATATATTCAGCACTCATCGTCTACTCCTCTCTCAGTCTCTCTCTGATCCTGTCAGTGTAGCTATTATGCTTCAAAGAGAGGGTGTCATAACAGGACAAGTATTGGCTAGTGTGGAATCAGCTAGTCCCTCTGTTCCTAATCAACGTGAAGTCCTGTTAGCTGCCATTATAGTAGCTATTCAAAGCAAGTATAGTTTACTGCAAACATTTGCTAGTGTGTTGTGCAAGTTCACTGATAATGTAAAACTAGGAACAGTTATACAAAGAGACTATAGTGAGGCTATTACATTTCACATAATGGCTGATCATAATGTGTTTTATAGGCCAATCCTTCAATGATGATAAGAAGCTTATTAAAGTTGTTATTACTGATGATGATATGAACACTGATACATTAAGCACTGGAACAACTACACCATCACCTACTCTACCTAATACACCAACTGGTAGGCATAATATTAATAATAAAACTATAATTCATTTTTATTTCTAATAGTGGAGATAGCCATTCCTGAATGCATGAGTGGTGAATTCACTTCAATACAAACGTCTTATGGTCGAATGTTGTACAATGTTCATAAAATAATAAAAAACAAGCCACCACCATTAGATGATGTAAAGGAATTTTTGCGTTGCTGTAAGAGCAGTCTTGAACCAAAGCTGTCTTTGTGTTCCAATATCACTGAAATATTACGAGTAGTAGAGAAAGAGTGCTCGTTAATTGATATTAAGCTACTTCAATCATTGGTTGAAGAATTCAAAATCAAAAGAAGTGAAAAGTACATCTCAGAATACAAAGGAATATTAAAAGAGTTTTGTTGCACAGTAAAGATTAGTCTTTGCTTGAATCAGAAGTTTGAAGCATTAGGAGGTAGCCCCTCTCTTCAATGTGAAACAGTTACATATGTCTTTGACTGGGAACCAGATGAGCACATGCTACAGAATATCAAAAAAATTGTTTCCAAAACGTCTGGTAAACTAGCGAAAATAAAATACATCAAGAAAGGAAACTCCATCATTGTCACTTGCTCGTTCCCTCACTCTCTCACTGGAGCTCTCATTATAAAATTGAGTGAGAATCTTGAATTATTAATAAAGAATGGTCTAATGAAGCTTACTGTTGGATACTGCACTATATGGAAG